TGTCAAGTTCTTTTCATTTTCAGCGTAGTAATGTCGCAAAATCTCACTCTAATTCGGCTTATTGTTTAGAAACGCTGACTTTAGAGTCATGCTGTGTCTATCGGCTTTTTCTCAGATGTCTTTTTTGTTGAATCAAAGCCAGCAGAAACACAGGAGATCAAACTTGTGCCCAGATCAAGGCGAATGTGAGGAGAATCAAAGGTTTTTGATGCACATTTTGTAGCTTCTGCTGACTGACATCTTCTCTCTACTAAAGGTTAAAAATAAGAAAGAACAGCGATAAAAAAATCTTCAAAACCATGTGAGAAACAAAAAACCCCCCCAAACATCATGCACAGCAACGGCGATTTACATTTTGTGTTGTGGGCAAGATCCCTTGTACAGATCAGCCATCAATGACAAGTCTTAAACTATCGAACATATTGATCGCATACACACTAATTAAGTCAGATACAGGATGAAATGTGGTTTGGGGGTGAAAGTGGTTTGCAAAGTGGCCTGCAGAGGTGCACAAGCCACACAAGCCTAGAGACAGGCAACCTTCCATAGACAGGGAAACGTGTGTATTGAGTGAATGGTTGACGGCCACTGCCCGGTGAAATCGATCACAGACAGAGTGACGTACTGAAAACCTCCTTGTAATTCGTCACTAACAGGTTGCCTATAATTTGCGTGCAGAAGCAGATTTGTCCGCAAACACTCAACGACTGCTGTCCAAGCGGTAGTGAACATGAAGTAAGTGTCACGCAAACTGAAAAAGGGGATAGGTTCATCTGCAACCAAAGCAACCATAAGCCACGGGGTCATTTACCAGTCTCTAGGTCTGAGTGACTACAGCCTCAAACAGTGAAGTTTACATGAGATTAACCACTTGGCTGTGTATAACCAGCAGACGTGGGCTGGCACTGATATCAGCTGATCTGGAGGGATTGTGCTTCATTTGATGCCGCAAAATCAAATCCAAACAGAATCTGAATGGACTGCTTTAGAATTTACAGTTACCTAAACTGCCAGTAATTTTATGACATAAATTGTGCTATAACAGTAGTACTACACAATCAACTACTCAAAATTTTAGGATGACATGAAAAGCTAATTTGCCTTCCTTTACTGTAGAATTATGTCAAAAGTTTGTGGTCATTGACCTGGTCATCTTAGCCTCAATATTTAGAGACACATGGCTATGACCATATCCACAGATTGAACCTTTTCTTCCCTTATACAACTGAGCTGAACACCAAATGCGAATCTGATACTTAAATTATTTTCAGGTAAGGTAACATGAGGCCAAAGACAGCTTTGACACTGATAACTACGTTCATGTACAACGATGATTAAACTGCATTCTCAGTCCAAACTCCTGATGACCCAAATCACATTTCTGTGAAAAAACTGTCCCAAATATTAATTTGTATTGTATCTTTCCCAACCTGCAAGATGCTCATGTGTTTTCGCTACCAGCAGCATCACTTCCATTCAGCAGAGAACAGCCACAGAGAGCTGGAGGAAACAATGTGTGTGAATGTGTGTGTCTGCAGAAAGAAGAAACAGTGAAGTGCCAGTGAGCTGTGCTTTTGGTCCCTATAAGGCTTGCGGGACGGAGCTGATGTGTGATCTGTGCCGAGGTGGTGGTGTGTCCATTAATGGAAGAGGGAGGAGCGTGTACATCCAAGCATACACATACTGTAACAACAGTATTCCCTGCCAGCAATGAGACTATAGAAAATGTGCTTTCTGACAGGAATAGTGTGCGTTTGTCTGTGTGTCAGTGTGTGGTTATAAGTGTGTTCAGTAGCGAGCACCTCTGGTCCGGGCAGTGTAAACAAACCTCGGGCAGCAGAGAGCGTGCTCAGAAAGGCTCAGAAAGACATCAAAGATAGAGGAAAAGTAGGAAGGAAGGAAAGAAGGAAGCATTATTATTCTAACAGCACAGGTTATAGGAATACCAAAGATAATATTGCCTCTCCTAGAACTAGCTTCAATTGCTCAGTGTATATAAAATTGGAAGAAAGCTATACTGTGATATTACAGTTACATTACACTTTATAATTCTAAAATAATTTATAACAACAATAGTTATATTTTATAGAGTATTTACATAAATACATCATCATATACTAATATTGTCAACACATTGTTATAGAAATACACCATACATATATGTGTGTGTGTATATATGTGTTATATTATAGCCACACGCACACATACTTTGAATATACAATCAAAATAAGCTATTGCAATGCTGTGTTGGGTAAAACTTTGTTGGACATTCACATCTTCTCAAGTAAGTAAGTAAGCTCAAAGAGAGGAGTTCAGGTGTATTGCTATAAGAAAGACCAGCCCAGCCCTGCACAGTCACAGCTGAACGTTTCTCGTAAAATCCGAGTATTGCTTGTTGTAAAGTCGCTCTCCTCTGAGGAGATGATCTGGGTGAAGAGACGAGGAAACAGAAAGAGGTGCTTTGTGCCTCTCGGTCGATGGTTCAGATAGTTTCTGCCTTTTCTTTTTTTCTCAGGAGGAAAGTTTCGTCAGTAGACTGATCAAACTGAAACCGTTCTGAATGTGTGAATCCATCAGCTGGGATTCAAAGGCAGCCCGCATTAGACGGAGAAACAGATGGGCATGTGTGCAGCCAGGTAAGTGTGAAGAGCGCCTCCAACAATGTGCTGCCTCTAGAAGTCAGAGAAGAGATCCTGTGGACCCAGATGAATGATAAAAGGAGCGATGGTGCGCGGCTGGTAGAAAGGATTGTCAATAAATAGACCACCTGCAGTGACGAAGATCAGAGAAAAAGGAAGATTGATTAATTAGTACACTTTTTTAAAACACTTTTTTAAAGTGGTATATAAGTATATTAACTATATGAGTGTATTTAAAATAGCGCAGAATGTAGAAATGTGTGTAGAAATGTCCTGTATATTAAATTAAAGCAATAGTCAAAACACTTTGGGAAATATTCTTAATGGCTTTTTTGGAAGATAAGAAGATGAGAAGATCAATGCCGCTTGTCTAATGAATATGAAGATGCATCCAAAGGACACTTAGTTTAGTAAAAATACTAGAAACAGGGGGAAACAGCGAGCCTCTCTCTGTCCAAAAATAGGACAAAAATAGGATCTAGGGGCGCCAGGAAGACTAATAGTTACACTTTTAGTTTATTTAACACACTGTGCTAAATTGTGTTATTAGGATCTGTAATACCTCTCGTGGCTGTGGAGCTGATTTTTCAGAAGAAAACTGGTTGCTTTAGAAGAAATGTACATTTTCCAGTCAGAACATTAAAAGAAGTGTCTAGTTAAAGGTCTGTCTCACTGGGTCGGACCATCGTGATAGGACAGAAAGACAATGTGCCTTATTACACTGCAAAAACTGCTGAGGAAAGGCTGGGGGAACACAACAAAGAACCCAAGCTTTTAATTCAGGCTGCACAGTCCAAGAACAAGCCTGATCCTTGGTGGCACCACCCTGCAACCAGACTCAAAGGGTTGTCTGCTGGTGTCCAGGTGGCAGATATAATTGGACACCCCTGGGGATTCTATGCCCATGTCCTGTAAAGGTGCAGAGTAAGACACTAAAAATCATGATAATTTAGTTTCTGCTGCTTTAATTTCAGCCACATTTCTACAATGCGAGCTCCTGAGCTTAGCTTGGCTAGCTGTTCCCCCTGCTTACAATCTTTATGTTAAACTAACTAACTTAAAGTGCAACAAAGCCATAAAACATACTTCCCTAAATATCAAAACCAGTAAATATTCTCTATGGATCTTTGGGTCTTTATGCATTGAAATAATATCAACCTGAACAAAAAGAATAAGAGAAAAAAACAAACACAAAATGGAAGAAGTGGTAATAGTGTTCAATCGTGTGAGATTGAAGTTAACGTCTCAGAAGGACAGAGATTATTTAAGGGCTTTATAACAACTCAGAGGAGCTCAACCAACCATTGGACAAGACATTGGGTCCTCTCATCCAATGGCTGCGCCTCATAGCCGTAACCATGGAGACGTCCTCGAAGGGGGGTGTGGTTATCACTTGCTGGTTGGATGACCAAGACGTGGTTGAAGGGCCACGGGCAGAACTCTGTCTCGATTGGCACTCTTTGACTGGTGTGTTGATGGAATAAGCTTGAGTTTCACCTTCACTGCACTCTATTTACATTGAGCCATTTTCCTCTTAGTTATTATTTATAAAGACTGTTTTTTTTCTTTACAATCATCTTATAGAGGATAGTTTTAAGCCCAGGTTTTAGTGGTATTATTGGTGCTGGTGCTTAGCATCGAGGAAAAAAAAATGAGCAAACACAACAAACCATACTGACAATGACACTGAAAATTATGAAACAACAACATGAAAATGCTGACGGTGAAGTATGATTCACGGAGCTACAACTCGAATGTCAGGCAAAGATGAAAAGCACTGATTTAAATGTCTGTGCAGAACATATTAAGTTTATTATTTGTAGGATGATTTATGCTAGTGAGGTCCTTTTAAGCAATGTCAGTATTCTTCTGTTGCAAAAGACTGCCGTTAGCTCACATTACAACAAATGCAATACTGTAGGCGCTAACTCTGAGAGCTGCGGGAAACCTGCCGAATATTAATTCCACATGCAGTAATGAGATCGTGCAGCTGAATGCAAGATGGAGGATCTAACTAGGGCGTTCTAAATTCATCATGTCGTTTTTGTCTTTTTCTCTGAGTAATCTTTAAGCTGAAGGTCAAAGAGATGAATTGAGAGGTGACGAGGTACTGAAATTCAATATTTGCAAATGCATGAGCTTGGAATATTAACAGTACTAGTACTATTTATAGGTTTAATAGTGTAGGTTTTATAGTACTATTTGCAGGTTTGAAAAAGGATAGGTAAATCTGTCTACGTTAGGTGACATAAGTACAAATCCAGTCCAAACAGAACCAAAGAGGAAGGCGCTACTCTATTAAGTTCCTTCTTAGCTGAAAGCCTTTAAATGAGATATACAACAGGAGCTGTTCAGCTTTTATTGAAGATAAACTTTATTTTGCAGCATTGATGATTTATTCCTATACAACTTTCACACCACTCACATTATTTTCTTTGTACACAGAATATGTGTGATGTGTGTGTCATATTGCAAAGGATATCATCGTCTTTAGCAAGGAAAGAACAAAATAACAAAAGGCTAAATATATATATATATATATCGATAGAAATATGGATCGATAGATATATTACTATTTAGACTCATAGAATGAGGTAACAATTCACAGTACAAATCCTTCAAGTTTTTAAATGTTTTTATATCTTAAGAACTTAAAACCTGCAGGGTTTTTAATATTCATAAAAGTTTTTGGAACCAAAAACAATATAAAATAAGCAAAAAAGCACTTTTACAAATCTTCAGCTCAAGTCCTTAATCCTTTCCCCTTCGTCATACTGTAAAAAAGAACAAGAAAAAAAACTGTCTCCCTTCTACAGAAAACCTAGGTGCATTTTGGTATGGCGTGTCTCTTATGCTAAAAGAAGTGGTAGTGGGGGACGGGGTAGGCGGGCACTTTCATGACAGGCAACAGAAGCATTCTCTTGGGCAAACCTAGAGGGGAGACATGAGAAGAGCATAGCTCTGCATGAGTTCTGGGGAACAAATAACCAATGCTCACTATGCTAAGAGCATGTCCATCAAACACCCGTCACACTAGACAAGCAGGTTCCCAGAGGTAGAAGTGTAACTGCGTGAGAAAAAGCAGGAATGTATGCACACGAGGTGACAGCCTTTATTAGTGGTTTACCACAGAAGACAAAGCGGGAGTTAAAAAGAAAAGCTAAAGTTTAATTTTGTACAATTCTGTTAATTTCAGTCTATTTGAGTCAATTTAAAAGCGTTGATTTCACAATCCTGTTATTTATTATGATTTGGAATATGGTGACCAGCAGGGCCTTTAGACAATCAGACGGGATTTTCCTAGATTTTTTTCTAGATTGTAAAGGCAGTAATAGTTACGCCAGGTTGCACTAGAATAAAAAAAAAAAGGTTTAATCAGTGTGACTAATCCGATAATTGCTCTTGATCGCAACAATAACACTAGTGTGTACACTGGTAATGTTAATAATGATGATCAAGGCTTTAAAATTAGGAATGAAGGGGTAAAATAAAGAGAAAGAATCACTTGAAAAATAGGTAATGAAACAGAAGCTGGTGCTCGCATTGTTCCGTAACTGACACTGTAGTAATAAATCTAACAGCTTATGGAATAATCAGAAGATAGATAGCCTAAAGTAAGTGTGGCCTTAGATTGAGTGGAGCTACACTATCAGGCTGCATCAAGGCCTGTTAGAAGGGAAATATTTTTGAACAGCGAGGAGACACAAGTGACTTTGGGGTTGCGTCAGGAAGGTCATCCGGCGTAAAAATCTGCCAAATCAAACACGCAGAGCTACCTGCTGTGGCGACCCCCTGCGAATAAGTGAGCAGCCAAAAGTTGCTTTTTATTTTTTTACCTGTTATTCTTGCAGAGCTATTTTTTTTCAGGGTCCAAGAATACACGTGCAGAGATAGAGACCAAAACACTAAAGAGAGATATCAAACGTTGTGCTGTTGCAAATTGTGTGGATGAAACATTTCGTGTCTATATTTTTTATCTAGTTCAATGCATATTTTTAATCTCCACTGAACTTCCTACTTACTTGTGGGAAGGTGCAGAGTAAGTTCAAGGTCAGGACTAGTTATACAAGCCAGGATACGTGACATGTTCGGATGAGTAACGGGTCAAAGGTGCACACAGTACGAAGCAATTTATGTGCTTCCACAGAACATGCAGGGCATTTAATAGCCTAGTTATGCACTACTGTTTTTCAGTTGCTTAGTATGAGGCCAGCTACTGATGTATTGTTTTGGTAAACAATAACTATTTGAAAACGCCAGCGAAGGCAGACTATTTTAGCAAGGAAAGGTGTTGCACTAACATGTGAAAAACCCAGTTGAAACTGCCTGGGAACTAACACTGGGTTCCAGCTTTCATAAACATACTGTATAACTGAGGTGGATTTCATTTTCAGGGATGTTGGGTTCTCAGGGGGTTGTTACAAATCTGCCTGGGGCCCTCAAGGTAGTTTCTTCTAGCACATAAGACCCTTTCAAACTAGGCTGTAAGATGGACGACGAGGCCTCCTAGTACTACATGTAAAGTCCCACTGCACAGGACTCACTCTGTTAAGGTAAATATGTGTATGGAGTGGGTTTTTCGCCAATACCTATGCTATTGAAGGTCAAGTATATATTATGTCCTGAGAACAAGAAAACAGTGTAGCAGCGGTCCTACTGATGGAAAGCTGGTGTGTATCTTAAAAGTACTGGGAAAAAAATTGGAACTCGTTCTATTCCTTCTGCTAATCCTACAGAAATGCGGATGATGGCTCTACGAACAGGGCTCAGGTTAATAAAAGGTTAATAAAAGTCAAGAAACAAGGTAACTATTCAAATATTTTTTATAGTTTTCTACTCTTTTGCATTTAAACTATTTGAAGGCAAAGCCGGAAGATGTGTTGATATAAACACAATCAGGATTGTTTTTTGGATGATTTTAGATGAAAGCCGGAAACAGACGACAGCACTCTGTGCTGATAGAGCAGCAGTCCAACCATAAGAGATGAGAGTGTAAGAGGCAACAGGCAGATTAACACATACGGACTGAGTGGACAATTAGCCAAAGCACAGATCTGATTGTAGAAAGACAACAAAGAGATTAAATGTTTAACGCTAAAACTTGGATCTTAAAGGGGGTCAAGATTTTAAAATCATTTTGCTAAAAGAGAAGCAATGGATATAAAAAGCAGTCGAGGACAAGGGCTGTAAGTGTAAACCTACTGAAGATTCATTAATTTACCCACAAATGGCTAGAGAGAGAGAGAGAGAGAGAGCGAGAGAGAGAAAAAGAGAGAGTGAGAGAGCGAGAGATGGAGGGAGGCTACAGGTGGAAAAAGGAGGCTTGAGCTGATGAGGAGTGGACGCGAAGAGGCACGTACCGTACGCAGGAGCAGCTGCTGCAGCAGGGCTGTAGCCATACGGTGTCCCAAAGCCTGTTGGGAAAGAGGTTACAAGGTCTAATTCAATTCTGCACTTGTTAAATCCAAAACTAACACACGTTTCAGCTTCTTTGTAACTTCAGACGACTATTTTGGCCACTTTCTAGCAGATTCTAGCAGACAGCTATGGGTTTAAAGTATGAGACCTAAGTAGATGCTGTACTCCTCGAGCATAATGAAGATAAATCTTGCAGTGGTTTTTATGCTACACAGTTTATCTGCTCTCAACAAATTACTGCTATCCCCTTTTCTATAGGTGACTGTAGGGTATTTGTGATATTTTGCAATACAGCTACAGGGAAATGCATGGGTTTTTTTTAACCACAGGAAAATAAGTAAGCGGCCTAAAGCAGAGGAAAATGTCAGAATTTTAAGGCCAAGAAAAAAAGAAAATGCCAGATCTGCAGAAACTGTCATGTCAAATAAAAAATATAATATAAAATACAGTTTAGCCAAGAAATTCTGTACAGTGGTAAAATGGGATATCGGCAAGCTTGGGAACAGAGATTTGAGTTAAAAACCATGTCCAGTATAATTTGATGTGCATTTTTCGAAGAAGAAAAATGAAGATTATGATGCAAAATGTTAAGTGGTTAACTGTGCTAGCTGTGTATTATTGATTTATATCTAAAAACAACAAATGCAACATTTACAGCGTTGCAAACTGGTGACTTTTTCTTTTGTCACATAACAAGACACAAAATCCCTTCACTACCTGGAGTGACATATCCAGGTGCAGCTGCACTGACGAAGGCTCCTCTTGCTAGGGCCGCTCTTCCTCTTCCTCTGGCAACCTGAGCTGCTACTGCTGAGGCTGCTGCTGCTGCTGCCAGGGCTCCTTTGGTCTGAACACAGGCACAGAGTACACATATTAACAATCACAATGCCAAGATCAGAAGCTGGCCATAAAGCTAGAAAAACGTGTGTTTGAACCGCATGAATGCAGCGGCACTGCAAGAACATATCAAATCAAACATGCATGTAACACTGACAATGTTCTAATGCACTTGGGTCTCATTTTTTACAGATCTATATGGGAAATAGCGTTATTGACAACATAAGCGGAAGAGGGGTGATCTCATAAAAGTACTGATCTGTTAAACTTGTTAAATCAGTCTAAACAAAGTGTTATTGATTACTGATAGAGGGACACATTGGGCAAACTCTCCAACTGCTTTTTGATCAGAAAGAGTTTAACACTAATGCAAAATAGGACAGAAAGACTGGTTTAATAGTTTATTGTTGTTTCAGTGTAAATGCACATGCTACAGAGTTAATTGGGGACTTCTGTGTCAGGGTTGTGCTGCATAAGTGTGTCTCTCCTTACTTGAGGCAATATCTTCTTCTTCTTGTTTGCAGCTGCGTTGGGACCAGAGAAGAGTTTTTCCAGAGCTGCTAGGGCAGCGCTGGCCTTTGCTACCTTTTTGTTGGGGCCTGCCCCACGAAATTTCTGCCCGTCGACCTCCACCTAACATGCACACAAATATTCACAGAAATGTGTTTTATGCTTAGGGAAAAACAAAAGAAACATACTACATTTTAGACCTGTAGTGATTTATAAACAATTAATTCTCTCTTATTTTATTGATGTAGGTCTTTCTATGGGTATTCACACTTTTTATAGTACAAATCTGTTAGAGCTAAAAATCACACAATGTGGGCCAAAGGCAACATTTTTTGAAGTCCTCAGTGAGTCAGTCAGCGAGTCTTGCTGAACAGGACGGCTTGTTTAAGGATGCCCTGCTGTCAAGCAGGCCTGCTAATCAATCAGCAGAGCGATGGAGCAACCAGGCATGTCGGAAAACAAACCACCCCACTGACTCTGCCGGGTGATGAGCCTGTTTCTGGTTGTGTACAATACTGCGCACAAGGCTTGAGACCTCATTTCTTTATACATGTATTTTGATAGGAAATAAGTGCACTGATTTATTGAAATGTGCAAACACAAATAGAAATATAATATATATGGTAAAAACTGAATTTTTACAAATCTAACAAGATGAAAGCCAATATTTGGTATGACCACATTTTTTTAACACAGCCTGACCTGGGACACCGGCATTCCTTACTGGGTTGAGCAGACAACCCATATGCCATAAGGCTAGTGCATATATATAGATATAACTATATATGGATTTATAAAACTGGACTGACTGAAAAGGACTGAAAAAGCAGGCAATGTTCAAAGGCAACTTCTTTTTTTAAACTTTTGCTTTTGACAAGATCCGTAACAAAAACATTTTTCTCTCACCTCCATAACAAAGCGTTTGTCGTGGCTGCCTCCACTCTCAGAGATGAGCTCATATTTGAGGCCTCTTCTCTTCTCGTTTAGCTCCATGACAGGATTCTTCCCACTCGCTGTCAGTATGGGACCCTGAGTTCGCACCTGGAGAGTGAAAAGGTATTAAAGTAACTTAATTTAAAAGTGGGTTCATTTATTTATAAAATAACAAATATGACAGTTAACATGGGAGATGACGCATGGTATGAAAATGTCAGTGATTTAGGTGCGTTTCATGTTAAACCACACTGACCTCCTATTATGCTTCAGTAGCTCAAATCAAATTTTACCAGATTAAAAAAAAAGCATTTGAACTAAGCGTGTGCTTTCATTTGTTGACACACACTTCTCATTCTCTACCTCAAGCGTGTTGGAACTGTCCGAGGAGTGTGTTGGGTTATTGCTAGTGTGCGAGGAGGTCTCGCTCTTCCCCTCACTGTCCGACTTCTCGTCTGAACTCATGGGGTCCAGGTCTGAGTCAAATCCAGTCGGGTAGCCCATTGCCTGGAGAACCTGGAGATCGAAGGCAAGGAAGTAAAAATAAAGGTAGGAAAGGAAGGAAAAAGGCAGGCAAAGACACCTAAAAGGGCTAATATGCATTAAAGCAACGAAATAAAAAATAAAACCTTTAAAGTGACTAATCAAACAATCTTACATTGCTTTTGCAATATGAACATGATTTCTGATGAACTCACTTATGTTCCTTTACGTCAGATCACTTCATTCTGAGAAGACTGCATTAGTGTAATCAGGCAAAAAAGATTGAATTAAAGAAGCATGCTGAGAATCTATTTCAACCAATATTTCTTCTTGAGGCAGGAATACTGCAGTATTAATGGCTCAGCTGTACAATGGTTAGCTGATTTGAGTATCATATCACTTTAATGTAAGTCCTTGACAAGACAGCAGCACACAGACAGGGAGAGAAGAAGGGAGGGAAGGACGTTGATTGTGTCACAGCTGCTCAACCAGCCCCTATAGTAAGAGTATATGTGAGAGAGCAGGAGGTAAAGAAACTGAAGGCGAGAAAGAGAGATCAAAAGATGAGCACATGAGAGAAAGGAAGTGAGCAAGAAGGAGAACAGAAAAGAAGGAGAGGTGGGGAGAAAGAGCCTTTTATGGGAATGGAGCGGACAGCGGATTATCCCAGCTCGGTGCTCTGGAGAGCCTCTTTGTTCACAACCACTTTGGGATTACATGGACTTGCCCACCTCCAACTTTCCTCGCACACACAAACACATCAGCAGGTATACGTAGGCAAAAACATATTTGTAGCCATACAGGTTTGGCGTCAGCTGGAACTTATGAAATTTTTCAGGGAGCCAACTGAAATTACCACCTTGAGGCCTCAGGCTACTGCCAACCTGTCAAGTTGGAGTTTAAATCCGTGCTCATCCAGACTCATATGGCATGTGGCCTGAAGACTTGAATAGGTGGTCCCCAAAAATTAGTGTCACTATTTCAGCATTTGATCAAATGTAAAATGTGTTCACCATCTAAATCTTCTGCTCCTCAGTTATGGCACTGAATAATGGCAAAGGTGTTGTTGAGTGGCAATTTTGAGGTCACAGTGACCTTTAGCCAGTTCATCCTTGAGTCCAAGTGAATGCTTATGTCAGACATTAAGTCACAGCAACCGCGAGAGGCATTAGAAATTATTAAGACTATTTTTACTGTTCTCTATATGTTATTTTATCCATCCATTTTCTTCCTAGTGGAGCCTATTCCAGCTGTCATGTGGTGGGAGGAGGGCTGCACCTTAGACACAATGCCAGTCTGCCACAGGGTTAACATATAGAGATATAGACATCCCCCGCGCTCACATTCACACCTGTGGCCATGCAACTGCTAAAGAGAAAGACAGCAGCCAGCAAGTTGAACTCAGAACCTTCTTGCTGTGAGGCTACATTTCTAACCAACCATGTTTAAAAAACATAAAGACACAAATGTAATCAAACACAGAAATCAAGCTTACCTTGACTGCAACGTGAAGCTTTGCAGTCTTCTTAGAGGATCCAGAGGCTTCGTAAACTGTTCCATCTAGGTCCACAGACATGGTGAAGACTGGAGCATGAACCGGCCCTGACTGGGACAGCAGGCGGTACTGCAGCCCTGGTCGGATCTGGTTCAGCCGCATCAGGGCGTTCATTGGTTGGTTGGAGTCTATGGCTTTACTGTCCAGGACTAAGGCCAAAAACAGGTAAGAGAGAATAATAGTAAGACATAAAGCCAGGGTACATTTAAAAACTGTAATGCAAACGTTATAAAAGCTGAAATTGGACAGAGTAGAGAAAAATCAGGGTAATTTGTAATGTTTTTCAGTATTCTGCCAAGTTTTTTTTATGAGGAATAAAGGTGCCTTTAATCACTTTCCTCCTTTTTGCCAATATATAGAAATCCCTCTTTGCCTCGATTAGCTATGGTTCCTCTTCTCCTTGTACAAAGAAAATACTAGGAATGGTTGGGTGGCCTACTAAATTGTTAACAATCAATAGCATCGATGTGTCTCAGAGGAATGAAAAAGAGAGGAAGGGAGCAATAAAAGAGAGACAAGGTGAAGATAAGCGAAGCTTCTCAGCAGATAAAATCATGAAAATCGAATGATGAAAGAACATTTTCTAATATAACATACTTTGAATCATATGCACTGTTAGGCTTTAAAATATAACAAGCAGACTACAATATTAGATTTGTCTTCCTCCTTGTACCTTTTCTTAGATTCCTCTTCATCTTCTTGATGAGGTCCTTGTCATCCATTGCTCCATCATCATATGGCCTCTTCAAACCTAACCCTAAAATCAAGAGACACAGATAAACACAGAGAGAATTACTAATCAATCACTAAATACAAGAGATGTTTATGTCAACTTACACATGTGGCACTTGTGTATGACAAAAACACACAAAGGCAATGTCACAGAGAACAAACGATACAAGAGAACAAGCACAGGACGGATGAACACACAGAGAAGATAAACAGAGCCGACAGGCAGACCAGCAAACAGTCAAACAATGAGGAAGACATACCAGATCGTGCCCTACGTGCACCTTAATCCATAAATGCTTTTTCCATGTCAGCATCAAAATTTCAAAAGGCCGATTTTCGATTTTCCACGAAAGTCACTTTGGCTATGTGCCAGCTCAAGATCTTATGAGATTTCTGTGAGTCTCTCTTTTTCCTGCAGAAAGCATGCACAACCTAAAGCAATTTCACTAAAGCTAAAATCCTTAGTGTGGCACTGGAGACAGGGTCAATAAAAAAACTGAGAAAAAAAATGTATATAACATACCTACATCACTGAAGCTAGTTTTATTATGATTAATATGTCAGCCTTTCTGATGATGCTGGCAGTGCTACAGAAGTGCATATAAAACACATAATACACCCAGAAAGGTCATGACAAGGCCTTGTCTGATCTAGAACTGGATGGGCAGGCAGAGCAGCAATGGGGAATAAAAAAAGGTACACACCTTCTTTATCAGACCACGGATATTTCTGCGATGGTTTATTTGAGGGAAGAGGCTCCATCTCTAACACCTTGTAGATCTGTCCGAACGCCATGAGCCTGAGAGCATGCTGTTGAACACAAATCACGCACCATACACAAAAAGAAAGATGATGAAAGCTGAGAAACGCATTTGAACCAAAACAGATTTGATGTCAACAGAGGCACAGCGTGCAGTATTCAAGATGTTTACTAGCATTATAAAACATTATTAAATTATTTTAAAAACAGTATAAAACATTAAAAAGGATGCAACTGGTGGAGTTACTCTTTAAGTCTAAGTAAAGAGAGTCAAAATATCCTACAATGTTGAACTTATGTATAGCTTAGAGTCGATAAACACATGTAAGAAGCTCCTTCACTCTTTACTCTGTGATAACTCACAGCACGTCTGTGCTGTTTGCTATATCCTGAATATCTGAGACAGAAGAACTGTTCCGATGAGGAGTAACAACAGTTCTTTAAGTTAATTTGTCACAACACAAATTAACTTAAGCAACAATGGACATTTTGTACTTAAGTGAATCTGCAATACATAGGAGTATAAAGCTGGATAATGCATGGGCAAACTTCTAAATATACAATTAAAAAAAAAACTCAAAACACTTTCTTATCTTGCACCACAAAGCACCAAAACTGTACCCAAATTCAACCATAATGACTCATTTGTCTTTATGTTAACTTATCATGCTCAGTGTCTTACATGCATCCCTATTCTACACAAACAGATAACCAAATGGCACATAGAGACTCTGCTAATATAAATCTATTAGGGGGGTAGAGTGTCTCAGATATTAATGACACCTGGTGCAGCTCATTGACAGAACAGCTCCCTCTCTCCTATCTGCTCTTGTATCTGCTCCAATGCAATTATCCCCATTGACATTCCAGCCTCGTCCAGGCTGCCTTCAAAAGGAAATGGACGGCAAGATTCACTAAGCCACGAGGCTCAGAGGCTGCCCTGCTCGCTCAAGTGTGTGTGTCAAAGGACATGACGGCACACGCACACACACACACACACACACACACACACACACACACACACACACACACACACACACACAAATACCACACGCGCATAAATACTGTCCTCGAGGTGTCAGAGATGGATTTATGGCTTGCAATGGCAATAGCTTCCCACACCAATCATTAAAATGCGGCACCACACAGCTCTTTCTGGTGACTGAATGTAAGTGTGTGTGTGTGTGTGTGTGCTCGCAGAATGAGTGGTTGGGGCAGCAATGAGGTCTTCCTGTCTTGCTAATGGGCATATTGCTGAGTGATTCCCACACACTGCCAGCTCAGGGCAAGAAGCACTGGGTGATAGCAATGCCATAGTTAAACTACATTGTACGTGTGTACCTGTGCACTGAAGGTAATGTCCTCAGCCTGCTGGTCAGTCATGCTGGCGAGTGTGTTTGTTGGCTCTTTCTCACACGGGTCGTGTAAACCTGGGCCTCCTGGGGGAAGTGACACACAGACATGCTAAGTCAGTCATTGTCACTTTCTGTGCCGACGGTGCAGCTCAGCAGCATTTAATTGGACTTGACTTTAAAAGAGACAGTGAAAATCTTGAGAATTAAAATGAATGGAGAAAAACATCTTGTAGGTAAATAAACATTCTCCTACTAGTGTGGCATACATTTCCCTTTGAATTAAAATGGGTTATTTTTTATTTGCAGTTTGTTAAACTTCCACTCTTCCACTTTTAAATAGCTCCTTTCAGTCCTTCAAAGTAGGCACTTGAAAAGCACCAGTCCGAGAGGAGAACACTGGTTTTTGATCCAAAGTAAATTAGCTTTATTCAAAGACAATTTTACTCAGTGATGCAGAACACTTTGCAAAGAAGCCATTAAGCTAGCTCTAATTAAGATGCTTCCATAATAATAATGATGACCTGCCTCAGACAGCTGTGCTCTGCTGGGTCATTTATAATGTCTCGACCTCTCTTAAAAACTGCTCAAAAATGTGTCAAGCAGAGCTGTGATATATCTCCTCATCTACCCACATTAAGAACTTTATTTAGCTCTCCTGGTAAGAAATGCCAGTAAACTGTATGAAAATACATCCTCATCTACTCAAATCTTTGCAGTCACTAAGGCTACGTTCAACTCCAATTTTTTGATCAAATCCGATTTTTTTGTATGCTCGTTCACACTACAAATAAAATGCGACAGCAAACGCGCTCTAGTGTGAACGCTCAAAGCGATTTGATGCACTTTCGCCTGCAGTGTGAATGTAGCCAAATTCCTTCATGAATACACCACACCAAGTACCTGGGAGCAGTATGCCTGAGGCCAGACACTCCATGACTCTGCGCAGCGCTTCTCCTGCCCCAAGGGGTCTGTTGCAGGTGGCAATGGCTTTCTCACAGATAAGCTCCAAGGGCTGTGAAAAAAGTTGACATAAAAACAGATAAGCATGCAATAATAGAGAAATGTGGGTGATATGTCATTAAAAGGTACATTCACTGACCACTTTGCTGCTACGTACACCCGTTCAACAGAAATTTCGAATTAGTTACATGGCAACTCAGTGCATTCGGCATGTAGACGTGGTCAGGAAGACCTGATCGAGTTCAAACTGAGCATGGGGAAGAAGGTTGATTTAGGTGATTGTGAAGGTAGCATGGTTGGTGATGCTAGACGGACTGGTCTAAGTATTTCAGAAAATGATGATCTACTGGGGTTTCTCCACACAACCATCTGTAAACTTTAAAGAAATGGGCTTGGCTGGGCTTGTTGATGTCAGAGGAGAATGGTCGGACTGCTTTAAGCTGATAGAAAGGGAATGCAAAATAACCAATTTTTACAACTGAGATATGCACAAAAGTGCCTCTGAATGCACAACACTCTGAATTTTGGAGCAGATGGGCTCCAGCCGCAGGAACCTGATGCCACCCTTGTTAGGTAAGAACAGAAAACTGAGGCTATAGTTTGTATGGGATCTGCAAAAATTAGACCACAGAACATAAGAAAAAAGTGTGGCCGACAAATCTGCTGCTATTGTATGATGTATTATGAAGGAGCATGAGGGTCACATTAAGAAACAAAAATATTATTGTTAATGTGGAGAATAAAGTCAAAATTTCCAGATTAAACTCAAAATATTGTTATTGTCAAAATGTAGAGATTTAAGTGAAACAACTGCTAGGGCTGATATAAGCTTTCTGCACCATCGTTTCAACATTTATCACCACATTGTGCTTATGTGCTAAAAGAGAAACAGTTTTCATGTCACTAAGACTGAGTGTGAAGTGCAATGTCAATAGCGTATCTACAAAAGGCATAATTGTAGAGGGTGTAGCAGCTGTGGCAGTTCTTTGACTTCAAACAACAGCTTTAATCGCTGCATTTTGACTTTTTTCTCAAAATATTATTTCAACTTTATTCTCAAAATGAACACTAACATTTTTTTCTTTATGTGACCCCAATACGCTGTCATACAGTATGCACTGATATCTCTGAGAAATGTTTCCAGCACCTTGCCATGAAGACTTAAATCAGTTCTGAATGAAAAAGGGGGTCCAACCTGGCATTAGCAAGGTGTACTTATTAAAGTGTCCAGTGAGTGTATTTAAACCATCTACACAAGTAGCTCCATTTGTAACCTGTTTCATTTATATACATTGCCTAGTTTTTAGCATAAAACACGTGATTTACAGATGATAAGTAATTGAACACAGGAGCAACAAGGCGAGCACAACACTCACCCATCCCTTCAGAGGTTCCCAGATGGGATGTCTATTGCACATATCCCTTAGTATCCTGAGAACGATAACGCAGGACTTGAGTCCATTCACTCGAGCCTGAGATGGTGGAAGGGAAAGACAGAGGGAGGCAAAGAGGAAGATTAAAGGAGAGGAGAAAAGGGAACAAACTGAGTATAGGAGCAGTGGTATTTGTTCAAACACATACAGACTACCGCCTGCAGAAAATCACAAAGCCACAGTCAAAAGGAAGCGACTGGATCTTTCTAAAACTCTGTGTCGCGAAAGATGTTGAATTAGTTTACTGAACATATATGTTAATTATTATTTCTCATTGTTATTATTTTTTCTTTGTGTTTTGTGTTTGTCTCTAGAATATACACAGGCTACCACTATTTTCTTTTGTTTCCTCTTCTTTCTTTTTGCCAATAAGGTAAATGAGTCGGGAGATAGATGGGAAGGGGTATGGAAGGAGAATTGAAGGGAAGCACTGACATGTTGTACGGAGCAGGCAGGTTCACATAATTGCCAAAAAGAAAAACAAGTATCAACCATTGCTTTTGTAGCCCTACGATACTTTTTTACAAAAAACTTTTAATCTCACCCTTTTCCAGCTCTACACTAAACTTTTGGAGCAGGTATGGATAAAGTGGCTTTTTTTGCCATGATGTTGCAAAACAACATCCTGCAAACTGAAAATGCAAATTAGAGGACAAAAGAAAACATTAGTGCATTTGCATTTGTTCTAACATACACATTCAATTTTACTATTTTAGTAAAATCAGTACATTTACACTCCCTGGGTGTGCATAACAGGCAGTATAGTTCTATCTGACTATTCTCTCTGGGTGAGTCGTCAGGCTACAATAAGCATCGGGCACGAAGACAGGAAGTGAGTGGGTGCCGACCTGGAACCACTTGGCGTGTCGCAGCGCTGCCAGGGCCAACAGACATCTGTGTCTATCCAGCACCTCCCCCTCCTCCTCCTCCTCAGCCTCCACTCTCTGCGCAGCAGCACCCAACACTGCCACGAAACAATAACAACCCAATATAGAGAACGTAAAACACACACACGTCAGCTTTGAGTGTGTGTGTTTGAGTGTTGCGCGCGTGAATGTACGCAGACACACCCGAAGTCGTGTGTGCGAGCATACATACACACACACATGCATGGATATTTTTGGTACATACAAGGTGCTTTTCATGCCATAAAGTTGCTCTCTCCTTGTACAAAGTGCTCACTCGCTGCACGGATTACAGATCCGCAATGGATGCCCATCAAGGGCTCCTCACTCTTTAAATGGAGTGCCATTTTCAACACTAGGATGAGTCAAATGTGTGTTGACTGCACCACATATTATCATAAATTTACTGTCCATCCTAGAAAGAGATGTGTTGAAAATTGCACAAACTACTGAATAGCGGTTTAGTATTTTAAATCCACTCAGTGGCTAAAAAAAAACATCAGAGCAACCAATGTTACAAAAGAAGAGACAACTTTGTGGGATGGAGAGCCCCCCCCACAGACATACACAAAACAAATACCTAAGGAGTGTTTGATTTACTGTGTGTGAGCACAGTTAGAGCATATCGAGTCATTTTTATTGTGCCCAGCAATGTAAATCAATCTCTCCTTTATGTATTTGACAAGGATTTTATTTATTTTGATCCAGTCTGCACCAGGCAGGAGTCAAAATAGCAGTTTTGTTTGTCTTCTGCATTACTTAAGGTGCACTTGATTTTCACAGGCTCATAGAGAAAATGATGGTGCAGAGAAAGCAATTCAACAACCTGTCTGGGCAAACACAGAATCAAGCGCTCCTAAAGTAGAACTGAAAAGGAAAAGAAAAAAAATCTAAGATAGTTTGACCCAGTCTGAGACAAACACAACACAAGAGGGATCAAGGCAGGGTTTAGTCAGAGCATCATGGTTGGTAAAAGTAGAGCATTATACTTTTATATGTAAGCATTTGATTCATGCTGCCCTACACACAGGGCTGGCTGGGTTAGTGCAGCTTCAACTGGCCTGCTACTCGAGAAACAGCACAAAGTCTGTGATATGCACGGCAAGCTGAATCAAACGCAGCTGTGTATGAATGAATGCCGTTACATGGGGTTTCCAAAGAAGGTTTTATTGTGCGCGGGACCAACTGGAGATAAAATAAAACACATTAAAGAGCCCTTTGGGGCTCTATGAAAACACAACTAGGTAAATATTTTTCTCATCAGTCTCCCATAAAAAGAAAATCCTAGCCTCGAGAGGCATTAATTTTAAATGTCAAATGCGTCCGATGCGTGCCGGAGTGAAAGCATTTATCTCGCGTTATAAAATGCAGTGTAGCATTTCCTGACAATGGCATGCCTTAGTGTGCAATCTATGTTTCAGTGTGACGTGTCCTGGTAAATCCTAAGGTCTGTCAGACTGGGCCCAGCTGTGTGTTGGACAGCTCAGCTACTAGCAGATCATTAGTCTTTCTCTTCTCGCTTGTCCTCCCCCTCTTCTCTCAATCAGCGCTCTTCTTTTATCATTATCTCTCTCTGTATTACCCTTTATAACTGAGTACAGAGGGAGATTTAAAAAAAAAAAAAAAGGAGGAACCCCCCCCCCCCCCCCTTTACCACACAAAGCAAGTGAGCTGCATCAGTGAGTAAAGCACACACATGCATGCAAAACATGTGCATATCTTCAATAAAATATTCATCTGTAGCATAAAAATTGAACTTGTCAAATGTATAAAATTAACCCTGCTAACATTAACCCCAATTCCCAAATGGGATTAAAGTGACTGGAAAATACTGTATAAATGATCACCTGTTATCAGCTGAGAAGACATAATTCACCCATCTAACATTTCAGCTAGAGCTTATGGAAACAATCTGCATTTGTGGAAACATGGAAAGTTTTTGTTAACAAATTTTTTTAGGGATAATTAATCTCCCTAATATGTTGCTAATCATTTCCTGACAAGCCTAAACGGAGCTAAAACAGGCACTGCCACTGGTCTTAAACCACCGGTGTTTATGCCGGCTGTTGCATGTGTTAATGTGAAAAGTATTTGACCCTGCACTTTAAAATATGATCGCCATAAATCTGTAGAGTTAGATATCCAGTGTGACAGGTATTTTTACAAAATATGACTGTGTGTGTGTGTGGCCTCCTCCTCCTCCTTGCAGCTGAGTGAACATGTGTGCAAACCGATGTGTTCCCCTTGGTGAGAAAATACGAGGGGTCCTCTCTATCATGCCGAGGCATCTGGAATGATGTACGGCAAACCTTCGTGCTATCGCTCATCTCTCTCTGAGACCTGAGTGTCTAGTTGGATGAGAGCCACAGGATAGATGGGCAGCTTGCTACTGGCTGCTTATTGATTTCGCTGGCCTGCTGGCCTTGGTTCCCAATCTTACATCCCACAACCAATTATAACCAGTAACTGCTACACATGAAAACAGGGGAATGGGGATGGGTTGTTTACAGACTCAACACCAGAGCCTTTCAGCTCGATTTTACTTAATTACTTTGTAAAATGTCATAAAGTAACTAGAGTAACTGAAACATTTTGGAGCAGTATATTTCTGTAATAATTGGTTTGGATAATGGGACTAATTCAGGCATTAATGCAACAAGCTCTGATATCTTATTAAAACCAAGCCATGACAAACTGCTGCTGCTACAGTGGCAGATTCAAGAGACAAAACATCACTGGCCAAACTTTATTCTCCTTTATTCTTGGAATTTGGCTTTCCAATTCAAATTAACCAGACAGACTGACGAACAGTCAATCTGTGGGCTGCACTACTGGGTCTGTAGCTCAGGAGGTAGCACAGGTCATCTGCTAAATGGAAGGGTGGTGGTTCGATTCCTGGTTGCCAAAAAAAAGTACTATTGTGAATGGGGCATAGAGTAGAAAAGCTCTCTACTTAAAATTCACTAAATTTCATTTATATAGCACCAAATCACAACAGCAGTTGCCTCAAGGTGCTTCTTACTGTAAAGTAAAGATCCTACAATAATACAGAGAAAAAAAAACAAAAATCAAACGACCCCATTTAAGCAAGTACTTAGCGACAGTGGAAAGGAAAATTATATGCAATTTAAAAACATCTTTACTTACTGGTGTATATAATGTAGAGTAATGTTAATAAAATTCCATGTCCTTACACACAAACAATGATTTGGTCAGCTGATGAGTTGCCAGATTTGTGTGGCTCCTTGCTACCCTAAATCTCTACAACCTTAATGACAAACGATCCAGGTTAAAATAAATTCTCCTTTAAGAATTATTGACAAACTGTGTCTCCCTTTTCCAAAAGGTTTAACAAACAAACGCTGTTCTATCGAATCAACTAATGGCTATCGTAATACACTTAATACTTGTTCCAGCCAAGATGTCGCTGCACTTGTTCCAAAGTTCAGCTGCTTAATCTCTTATCACCTCGATTTTGTTACACAGGTTTTCTGTGAAAATCAGGAGTGACATTAAAAACTGTTAATCCACTCACTACTTCTTAAGAACAATGCTGTTTTGATCTCCTACCTATTAGCAGCCTGTTGGCCACTGATAGGTTCACAGCTCCTGGCTTTGGCCCACTTAAAGTTTGAGATTTGTGGTGAATGAGCATTTTTCTTGGCTCCTAGATTAGGGACCAGCTATCCTCAGGGGTTTCGATCATTATTAATGCTTCCTTGCTTTGACATTTATATATTTTTGTCTGCAGCATCTTGTTTGTGGAGATTTTTTTTGTCATCTTTGACGACTCTAAGCACTGTGTAATACTAGTTTTCTATCATATGAAGAAAGTTCTACTTACACACTTGAAAGCAACTAACCTGGATCACCGTGTAGCAGGCTGTCAAATCAGTAAAATAATGTCGACATTTTAAAAAAATTCATCTTGAGTATTTGTTTTTCTGAAATATGATTGGCTACTCTACCCACCTCTGCCTGTACCTGTCTTGTCCTGTGTCAGCATCAGTTCATGAGGTCAAACCTCTTGTCTGACAAAAAATGTGGAGTTTTCTAATAACATATACATAGTTAACACAAAGACCAATTGATTGTGCATGTGCTGGGTGTGGCCAAACAGAGAACAACTTTCCTATTCCTATGCTCCTACCTTGTCCATTTTTGCTTTCTGGGTCTTCCTCTTCTTCCTCCACTTCCCCCTCCACCACCTCTTCTCCTTCTTCCCCATTCTCCAGCTCCTGCTCTTCCTCCTCCAATTCCTCCTCCTCCTCTTCTTCCTCGTCATCTTCCCTCATGGCCGGTGAGGTGAGGGTAATCTTCAAAGTGAGTTTAGGCTCTGTTGTCGTTTTTACCAAGATGGCCGCCTCAGGCAACGAGCTTGTGACCTCATATTTCTCTTCTGTCAGCTTCTGTTGTGTGTCAACAGACATAACTCGATAGTCAAGAGGCCAAGGCCACAATATGACACAGCACAGATGAAGAAGCAAAATATATTTCAGCATTGTGCGGCTTAAGCACACCACAACAACATCACTAGGTACGACAGGAGATTTAATAAGGGGAAGTTTTTATGTGAAAATAAATGAGTGATGGTAGTTAGTCTTGTGGACACCATAAAAACACCCAGGGATACTTCTGACCACAGAACTGACTGTGTAAGAAGACAGAAAGATCGCATGGACCCTTCAAAAGATATTTCCTTTTTTTTTTCTTCAAATCACTGGCAGGTTAGAATATAGACTCCCAATTTCTGCGTCTAATTATCAAATAGCCTTTATATAAAACTCTGGAAGAGCTGTAAAATCTACTGAAGACACAGATATCAAGTAATATCTGATGAAATCTGGCGAATCTTTTGTATAAGTTTTGCAGACACTGTTTATGTATTTTTCTCAACACCCATCTGTTTCTCTATGTGCACACTGTGCCTCATTCAACCTTCGTTCTGAAGAAATTAATTACAGTTGACCTCGCTGGTCAGCACTATGACATGAGGACTTATGCTAATATGTTCATGTCAGCATACGCAGCAGCCACAACCGTTACTTAACACACCTGTACTATATAGAACAAACTTAAACAAATTAACACGCTTAATATCACCTACAAGACATGCAAAGATCAGTACACACAGAGGCCCAGATGAAGCATATACAGTCATGGGTGATTAAAAATATTGAATAAAGGGATGTCAAATAAAGCTTATGTGTAAGTTAAATAAGGAAGATCTGTATTCGCTTGTTTGCCTGCGTTCCTGAGTGTTCGGGCTGCTAGTCTGTTCTTTACAACAAGTCGAACTCTCACGCTGTCAAACACAATTCTGACATCATTAACTGAGTCCAATCACTTTCTTGCCTGCCTTCTGTGAACCAGTCAGCCACAGTTATGTGCACTTTAAGTCTCAGTGTACTGTAACGGTTGAAATTACAGTGAATTCAAGTCTTTGTAATAGCCCAAAGCAGACCTTACCCTCTTCAGCTAAATTTAAGCTTGAGTTGGCCATGAGTAGCTGACAAGATTAAGCCAGATTAAGTCTAGAAAACAACATTAAAGGAAAATAAGCTACCTAGTTTTTATAAGTGACAAAAACAAGTATATCTGGGTTTATGTCTACATTCCAGCTGCCCTTTAAATGAGCAGTGAGTCACAGAGGGCCCATCTACATCCCATTTGGCTCTGATGGGAAATTCAAAATCGCTGGTCACTGGGCCGCAACATGAGATTATTTCTCACAGGAAACACACACACACACACACACACACACACACACACACACACACACACACACACACACACACACACACACACACACACACAGGCTCTTTTTCTCCATCTCCACCTCAAAATGTAATTGTGAGCAGAGAGGTTGTGCTCTGGCACTATTTATTTATTGGGTAATTTCTGCACTTGCCAGCCACGTTGGAAAGTGTTTCCCTACATTTGTTGTTATATTGCTAAATCCTTCCCTTCCAGTCAGAGCCCCTCACCAGGCTGCAGTGATGTATATCCTACAAATGAAATAATTTAAATGGCGTGTAACCCAACTGAAACAACAGATGGTATAAGTCCTAGATTATAAAACAAACAGGGGTCAAAGTCACAGGTTGTAAAAAAGAGATACTTGTCCTTCAGAGAGCTGTATTGTGTGTGTGTTTGTAAGTGTATGTGTGTGTATCTTGTATGTGTGAAAGTCAGGACCTTACTTCTTTGCCATGACTTATTAATGAGGAAATGTGACACTGACATAATGACGAGAGTATTAATCACACATGACTCATACATACTCAAACACCTCTCAACTTCTCACTTGACAATATTGCTGTCACTTGGCTACTTATGCTCACGCTACCACTCATGACACTCTCCTCAACACTCACAAGCACAACACAGTGAGAGCTGGTGAATTCAGGAAGAAAATGTAGAAGCTTATTTAAACGGCTTAATTTCTGACATTGAAGAAGAGTGTGATGTAAATATAGTGCATTCCTGGATTACATTTGTCAGACCGATGTGATTGTGGGTTTAATGCAAAGATTAAAGGTGAAAGTGAAAAAACAAGAGAAGCATGCATACCTCGGTGCATTTGTGTGTGTGTCTCTAACCTCAATCTGTGTGGGTAAATTGTGACAGACAGTGTCCAGCAATGTCTGTGTGGGTTTGTCTCTGCACATCAGCACCAGCTCCAGGTCCATGTCGCCTTTGATCAGGAGTCCTTTGGCCACTAGGCCGATCCTCATCACTCCACACAACAAGCCGCCACCGCTGGACTCCCTGCAAACACATAAAAAAATATATAAAGTCTTCTCTTGTATGAGATTTTAAGCTATGTGCATATGAACATTTTAATTCATAACTAGTAAATATCAAAGACAGAATCCATGCTTAGTTCTCAGGGAGTTAAATACGATGAAAGAGAAAAATAACCTTGTTATAAAATTAACCTACAATTTTGTGCGAGACCTGACAAACAGAACTGCACTGCAGGCATGAAGTCGACTCAACGGGAGATCCAAACCTCTTTTCATCAGCGTAATATTTGAATCTCTAACAAACACAAAAGTGTTTGAAAGATTAAAATACTAAAATTCCAATTCACACAGCAAAATAAGATCAGACAAGGCAATTCAAGATATCAATGAAAACTACTGAACCATTAATAAAAAGATTCAAGAAGAAGGAGCCCCCAGTGGAGGCCGTTTCATTTCCTGTTGAGCAACATATGCTCCTTCTACCTCAGAGAAGTGCGTTTAACTTATTTCTTCCTTCTGCATAAAAAAGTATTTAGCATGAACAGTCTCTGTGAGAAGTAAACAACACTAATAAGTGCCAACATTTTTTTGTCAGTGACTCAGTACTCTAGGTTGCAAAAGAAGAATAAACAACAAATCTAAAGTTGTTTATGTGACGTAAGAATGAAGAAATTCAGGCTTCTCAACTGTGCCTTTCTTTTTAAAAATGCAGCTATTTGCCACAGAATTTCCTCAACATGTGGAGAGATAGAACAATCTTATCTTTTCTAAAGTCCCTGGTGGCTCAAAGTAAGTGATGACATCTCTCTAGGAAGTCATTTCCCCTGTACAAAACCTAAACTAAATCCACAACTTGTACACTTGACACTTTAGTGTTTAAAAGAGGAGTGAACTCTCATTTAGGAGGCACCAAATGTGAGAATGCAAATTTCAGAGGATAGAGCAGATAACTGTCCGTAGTAGCATTGGCGTGGATGTCATGTGTCCATGCCTCCTGCATGCTCCATCCAGGCATAGACCCATGTTAACTTTATTTTTAGTAGTGAGACACTGATTATTATTATGCTGATGTTGTCCGAAGCGCATGTGTCAAAATGATGTAATGTAATACATTAAACGTCTTTGGTTATGGTTTGTAGGTTTGACAAAATAATTACTTTGTGTTTGAGTGACAAAATAATCCATTAACTGAAAAAAACATCAACAAAAATTATGAATTAAAGCCCACTGTGCGTTTCTTCTGCCTACCTGTAGCAATCACTTGACTCCTCAGTTTCTTCGCTGGGCTCAACACCAGGGTCGTCCTCCTCTGTGCTGTCTGCTGGTTGGCTGTCAAACTGGTTGTGGACTTCGCAGCTGCTCTGATCCAGCCAATCAGAGACATGTTTGAGGGCACACTCGACAGTGGATACCAGTGTCTGAACTGCTTCCAGCTCTTGAGAGGAGGGGTAGATGGTGGAGTGTTTCGCCATGACGTGGCGGTCATCGTTACTGAAGGAACGAAAGGACCTCTGAAAGGGAGGATGACAAATAACAGAGAGGTTAAAACGCACAGGAACCACTAACACACGGGCTTGCATACCTGTAAACGAACACGCATAAAAACACCTTCCTTTCCCTGCAGCAAGGACATTCTTTAACAGCAGATTGAGCTTTAATCCATCAAACAAACACTTTGGACTCCCTGCTAAGGACTCACTTTATTCATAATAACAACAAACAACAAAACCCAAAAAAGCCTTTCACACAAAATTAAAATGCAACACAGCTATCCCACAAAGTGTGCGTGCAACTGGCTTTTTTGTCTGCCCAAGTTGCTTTTGTGCTCACAGAACATGTTATCTCTTTTATAGGAAAGAAATCAATTCTAACTTCCGTGACAGCTCCTATTTACTGCCACTAACCCTAGCACATATGCACACGCACACATGGCTATCAGAAATTCATCTCACTGAGTCCATTCCACATGTCACTCAGATATTCTGGCCTTGGGAATTCATGTCAGCTCTTCACATGCTCGATTCTACTTGGTAAGAGGTTTAAGGGGGAACACCACAGCAGAAAGATATCAGGTGCAAGGCTTCAGAAAAGGGTAGCACAGAGGGAGGGTAAATGACAGAATATAGAAGGCACCTACCACCGAAGCCAAGAAGGAAGAGAATAGATAACAACAGAGGAGTGCGAAGGGAGCAGTGCAGAATCTTTAACAAGGATAAATGACAGAAATGCTTGTGCGACCAGAGGCTGAATTCAGAGACAAATTGGCGACGTAAAGAGAAGAAGGAGAGGAGCAGGTGGAACGGTGCCTTTGTGATTTGTGTCCTGCAGTTAATACCACCCAGATGGGTCCGCGGTGCTTATGTGGATTCATATGAAAACACTCCTCATCCTTTCACAGAGTAGATAGAGGTTTACAAGGCTAACTGTTCAGCGGGGAAAAACTGCAGTGCTAAAGTATTTAAACATCTGAGTGTTATGCATTAGCTATTCTAATTTTGCTCAGCATAATTGTATTGAAAATGTATTACAATCTATTATCAATGCATAAAATTTGCTGCAATACACATAATGTAAAATCTCTGCGGCAGCTGTTTAATTAATAACAGGAATACTCATACAAGAGATAATTAATATCTGTTGTAAGACATTATTTCAGTTCTGTTCTTGAGTGCTTGGATGGTTAGTAGCAACATCACTTCTGTTATAATCTCAATTTCAGCTCTCTTTCACTGTCTGGATTATTTTGTGACCGTACATGAAAATAGAACATCAACTAGAGTCGTCACTGTGGCTTTCATCTTGCTTATTTTCAACTTTTCTCTTTTACTGCTATGATCATTGGAATTATTTTCGGTTTGTCTATTTTTACTTCCCTCGCTTTGCTTTCTCCTGTTTTAAAAAAAAAAAGTAAAAGTTTTAAAAAAGAAGTCAAGATATTGTTTCATGATTGCTTGGATCTTAAGGATGGGGTTCATTTTTAAACAGCCGGGGTTATCATATTGTTCTGGGGAGCCCGAGGTGCATACGACACATACAGTTCAAAACGAGGGTGCACTGTTAGCCTTTGCAGTAATTTCCATAGCTTAGTACTGCAAAATCAACAGTAAAAAACTCCAAAGGATGTTAGCAGTTTAATACTGTAATTTGCATGTATTTGTGGGAAAATTCCATGAGATTACATTATTTTTACGGTAACTCACCGTACTCATGGAAACAGCTGTAAAATACAGCAAATGTAACAATTGGTGATGTTACTGAGATTATACTATTACACCATCTGGATTTCTGTTGTTTTCTACTGTAGATCTAAGAGTAATTACTTAAATCCTCATGCAGAGTGTATTACTATAAAATGTGATTCACTGTGAAAGTAGTATAACATATAAACTACAATATACAGCATCATTTTTAACTTAAGGAGTAAGTTGCAGCCACACTAAAATTTAATTCCTTGAGCTGAATGGAACCTCATATATTAATAAATGTATTTGTTTAGTCAAACAATGTGAAACATTAGTAATACTATTAATTAATAGTATACTTGTAAGGTTAGTATTGTGATAGAGTCGAGTATATTTTAATTATACTCTTGTAGACATTATGACATTGTGCTAGTACAATTATGGTGAACAAAAAGTACATCTAAAAGTTAATTTCAAGAATACTGTTATGTACTAAAACGGGAGCCAATATAGTCCCAAGAAGCATTATTAGTATACGTACTAGGTAAGGTATACTTGGGAAATATAATTGAAGTATACTTATTTTTTGTATGGCCAGCAACAAATACTAATGGCTACATTTAGAGTAATGTTTAAAAATGACTTCATTTAGCAGGGTGTTCCTTTTTTTCTCTTCTTATTCTTTCTTATACTGGACCTTCATTTGTTTTGTATAAGGTAGCACTTTTTAAGACACCGCTGCCTAACTACAGTGAACTAACCTAATAATATGCTCTGGTCGTCATTTTACACAAGTTAAGGTGTCACATCCATGAAACCTACACCACTAACCAGCATCAGTTCTACAACTTCACTCTCAAAATTAATAAATTCTGGGACAAGCAGAAACTGTATATTTAGCGGTGCATTTTGTTGCAGGCCAGACTGCTATGAAATGCACTCTCCTAAAGAAATAATTCCTTTGTAGCACCACTTCGTCTTGGTTCAGAAGAGATGTCCTGATATACGTGATAATGTAACACATTATCACAGTTTAGCGCGTTGGGTTACGTTTTTAAAGCTTTTTAATGCGACAGGTGCGATAGCCGACACCACACCTTCACCTGACGTACAACGTGACGTATGGCGCACACGTCGGGTATTCACTTTCTAAACAATAATGGGGATAGAAAATATTGCTCGAGGTGGTTAATGCTCCTTTCGCTGGTTGCCAACCACCATTAAATAACAACAAGAAGAAAATATTGATCTGCTTCTCTTAGTTTTGCACGTTTTGCACGTTTAAGCCGCAATTCAGACTCAAACAAAGCTGCAAAGCAGGAGAACAACATGGCCATCAACTATTCTGTGCCACAGATCCAGTTCGCTGCAGCACAGAGTGATGATGAGATCGTTAACATGTGCAAAAGTAGTCAGAGGTAACTGGATGTTCAATCGGGTTAAATGCAAGGTTGATTGGATTATATCTGAAGATCGTATGCTATTCGTGATAACTCTGCTAGACTCTAAATTGCTCGTCCATGCGGGAGTATCTCAAAATTAAATGAAACCACTTAACACTTCTTCCCTAAAACAGACTGACATGGGACATATTAAAGTTGGATCGGAACCAGCTAATCAGTCTGAAGGTAAGTGTTTTTTTCACTTATTCGAGAGAAGTCCGAAATGCGTTCTTATTACTGTTTGTTTTGACTTTTAAGCTACCCTACCAGGATATTTTCATTCAAATGCTAAGACAACATGTCAATAGCTATGAATGTGGAGACTCAAAAGACTAGTTAGGTAATAGCTGCCGATGGATTTATGAGACTTAAAAGAAACTTGGACGTTTGCAACAGGTGAATCGGTGAACCACCGAGGTTGCACCCAAATGCTTAAAGCTGTTAGCTGGTCAGTGTTTTCAGGTGTGCTTGTACTACCTGTACTATGCGGAGTGCTAACTAAGTCATGCTAAACACATTAAAGCGTTGAGCTCAAATATCTTTCCATTTTTGTGCACTGTTCTCTTGTCAGCACACATTTTCTGTTTATTGAAGCCTTTTGTGAATAATTTTGATCATGTAAAAACTGGGAATTGGTCCCTATTGACATTACTCTTATTTTTTGCATATGTCATTCAGGAAAGCTAATTGGTCACTGAACTCTTTGCAACTGTGTATTTCTAAATTTTGTGGCTTCATTGCACGCAAATTTATATTGTTCAGTTTGCATGTTAAAAGCCTGCCAAGCACCCCAAGGCTGATTGTGCTTGGTAAGAAGTCATTTATGAAATCGAGCTAATTAGACCATATTAAAATTTATGTTTAGCACAGGAGCTTTTCGTGGACACAGGTATCCAGTCTCTGTTTTGTTAGCTCAAATTTCTGTAATTTCCTTTATAAACCAAGGTTGTTGGACATGTGTCTCAGTGACTCCAGCAAAGTAACAATATCAAATTTCACATTACATATTACTGATCAACATAGTAGTCTAGCTACACCAACAGCAAAAATACTGAAGTCAATACTGTAAAGTTTAACAGCAGCACAAA